CTGATTCCGAATATCATTTTGGTTTTGCATAAAAATACCTCTGTATTCGCAAAACTAACGATTCCGGGACAGAAGCCTGGTTTTTTAAGAAACCACTAGCACCATTTCTGTTCACTGGTACGACACAGCACTATGGCCAACGCTAAATCACATATAGGAGAATAATTGGTGAAGAATTCAGCTCAATCGGATTAGAAACCTTTTGGGAGTTCACAAAATACGGTATGACCGATTTTTGCACCTACTGTCTGCCCAGTAATCGCTTTTTTTCTACTACATTTCTTGTTCGATCGAAATAATTTTTTCACACAATGAAGCTTATGGGTCAATCATTCGTTTGAGATAGTTTTTCATTTTAAAATATTTTAATAAATTAATAACAAAGCCTTCTCCGTATAATTAACGATTTATGAACAAATTTTTTGACCATGGACTTTTCCAGGGTTTGACCTGATTTCTGGAAATCTAGTTTTAGGGTAAGATAGACTAACCATAGATGTATTCATTCCAATATTTGAACTTTGGAAAATAGAAATTTCGGTCATGTCCGCCTGGTTGCCCACTGTACCCCACACCCACACCCACACACACACACCCACACCCACACCCTTATATAATACTTTTATAGCATTGAAAAATGCCCTTGCAAAGTGCTTGAGTCCTATTCATTATTTAAAACTTTCAATATATTCTACTGGTGTATTATTGTAAAGTAGTCGAGGACTATTAGCCACTGCTTTATCCGAAAAATATACTCATGAAGTATTATTTAGCACTTTTATACCTGAAATTAATTTCCTGGTGATACTTCTACTACTTAGAAGCACATAAATAGTACGAGTGCCACTAAGTACTACAAAATACTTTATGCATATTAGAACTTTTCTCACAAAAGTTAAACAAAAATTATTGATAATAAAATATTTATGGGTAATTACTTTCGAAATTATGATTTCAGTGGTAAAAAAACTACTAAAATGCACTAAGAAGAAGGGAGATAATTAATTATTTTTACTTTATGAATATGACAAGGAGTTCCACGTGGTTTTTAGGTGCTCTTACAGGGGAAGTGATTGACGACTAGAAATTACTTCTCTCAGTGCAGAAAGTACAATTAAGTACTTTTGTAAATGCCAAAAGTGTTGTAAAGTACTTTTCAAAATGTAAAAATTATTACCCATTTCAAAAAAGAAAAAGGATGGGTATTTTTTGAAAGACTTTTGATGGAAACAAGATAGAGAGCTGCAATTTTCACTGTTGGAAAGAGGATGTGTCACTGCATAGTTTCGTATATTACTCAACAATATTGGTTCATAATCCAATTGTCAGTCAGCGGCTTCCGGAAAACCAGTGAAAGCTCTATAGTGATTGTATCGAATTCTAATTATGTGGTGTGCGATAGATCCACCAGCTCATGTTCTACAAAGCTACGCAAGCCCGGCATTTCTATGTCGTTTCCTTGAAACGTTATAGGTATTTTACTAATCGTAATAATAGCTCTATACTAGTGATTTCGAGTATATTTCGATTTTTCAGAAACCTCGTGATTTAACTGTCAAGCACATTTTCAATCATTCCAATCGAATAAAACTGTTCCATTGGAATGTAATTTATCATTTCCATAGAAATCTGATAATAAACACACTATATCACGACTGGAACACAGTGGAAACACCCTGGTTTGTCTCCTCAACCTTGATGACCGATACTTTCTTTTGTTTTCTCTCCATTATCACGGAGTGTGTCATGTTTAATGGTTACTACGTTCGACTTACCGAATAAGGCTGAAACACAGTTATACCCACAAGTCAGTTCTTTTTCTTTTTCTTTATTGCTGAAACAGACTTTCAGATTCTTATCTCTCGCATCCGGCTTCACGAGAAGAAAAACAAATAGTTTACCGCTCTAAATCAGGATCATTTGTTGTTCTACTGTTGAAAAGATGCCCACAGGATACGATTTCTTGCAAGAGATGAAGCAACTGATGTTTAATGTCATCAAATTTGTCGAAAGTGAAAAAGGTGGCTGTGTGATTCCACTGAACAAGGTCAATGATCGGCTGAAGTATATGCTTGGTGTATCGCTGTCATCTGTCGAAAAACTGCAAAAAGAAATGAAAGAGCACAAAAACAAAATGTTGGAGAGAGAAAGACAGCAGAATGAAGAAACGAGGAAACTGGACGAACAGCAAGGCATCAAGGAAAATCAAGCAATTGAGCCCACTCTTCGACTTCGACATGCACGCACAAAATCAGCCTCATCGTCAACTTCTACCATAGCTACCACTTCCTTGACAGCCTATATTTCTGTTGCTCAGCCACCACGAAAACGTGGTCATTCTGGTCGTCCAACTGTCGTGTTGAGTGATGAGCAGAAAGAGAATATTCGGTGAGTGTATACAAAAGAAAGGAGTGGGTTTGCGTACACAGTCGATTTTAGCTACCACCTTCATCTGATGTTGGCGAAACGGACATATCCGACAACCGAGAAAGTTCTCACTCGCATCTTGAGTGATGATTCCAATTTTCCAGTACGTTCAACGACATCGTTATGGCGGTGGATGAGAAAGCTTGGCTTTTCGTACAAGAGAACATCTAAGGTCGTCGTGTCCCTCGACTTGATTTCTTTCATGGCTGGCCGTGCACGATATTTTGCCGCTATCGATGAGCTACGGAGTAATGGAACAATGATTTTTTGGCATGATGAAACATGGTGTAATCAGAATGAAGAGAAGCAATTTGTGTGTACGGAGAAGAATACAGGAATTGGTCGTCTGCGACAAAACACAGACAAAGGTGATAATAATCTCCTTCTGGTATGGTACGCGTCCACTTAACTTCTTCTAGGCAAAAGAGTCGTCATTTCTGCTATAATGAGCAAATCGGATTTCCACATACCATCGATCGACATTTTCGAGAGCGACGAAGATCCTAGCATGAATGCCAGTCATTTTTTGACTTACGGTTAGATTGATAGCACGGCCTCACGTCTACGAAAAGACCTCGGTAATATGCACACTTTCTCGTTTCTTCTCTTATGTGTGAATGCAGGCAAAAATGCAAAAATCGTTCTGGTACTCGATAATACCATTTGGCACAATCCCCTTACCAACGATACGATTCCACCGAAAAGAGCGTGGTGCAAAGAAGTTATTATTCAATGGCTCTCTCGGCACAATATTTTCGTTCCTACCAAGGCGACGGAAGCAGAGATGCTCGAGCTTGCTCTAAATAATTTACCCGAAAAACGTTATGTGACCGATGAAGCAGCAAATAAATACAATGTCGGAATTTTGCGGTTAGTTTGAGGGATTATGGAATACTGTCGTCTTGATTCCTCTCTTTGTAGCTTGCCTATTAAGCACTGTATGCTGAACCCGATTGAATTGGCCTGGGCTGGCTTAAAAAGCCACGTGCGAGACAGAAACGTGGAATTTGGCCTGACTGACGTCCGCCAATTAGCAGAAAAATTGATGCTGGCTTTGGAACCAACTACAGTCGCTGCGTATCTCAATCACGTGCAGAATATCGAAGAGACATTCAAGAAATCTTACAATTTCACAGAAAGCCTTGAAGCACACTTGGTTGACGAGGATGATGACGAGGAAGTGGATTCGGAGACCGAGGACATGGTTGAGTACTAATCGATGTCTTCCGACTGTGATACTCGGTATTTTTGTTTTGGTTATCGATTGATAAATCATTTTTGTCCTCATGATCATTCTAGCAAAGCGATCAAATCTTCCAAACAAAAGTCAAAATGGTCATGACGGTTCAAGACCACTGTGTTCTAATCGTGATATAGTGTGCTTATTATCAGATTTCTATGGAAATGATAAATTACATTCCAATGGAACAGTTTTATTCGATTAGAATGATTGAAAATGTGCTTGACAGTTAAATCACGAGCTTTCTGAAAAATCGAAAAATACTCGAAATCACTACTATAGAGCTATTATTACGATTAGTAAAATGCCTATAACGTTTCAAGGAAACGACATAGAAATGTCGAGCTTGCGTAGCTTTATAGAACATGAGCTGGCGGATCTATCGCATACGACATAATTAAAATTCGATAATATCACTATAGAGCTTTCAGTGGTTTTCCGGAAGCCGCTGACTGACAGTTGGATTATGAACCAATATTGTTGAGTAATACACGAAACTATGCAGTGACACAGCCTCTTTCCAACGGTGAAAATTGCAGCTCTCTATCTTGTTTCCATCAAAAGTCTTTCAAAAAATACCCATCCTTTTTCTTTTTTGAAATGGGTAATTGTTGTTAACGAAGAAAAAGGTCGTGCAAATCGTTTCAAAATGAACTGAATGACTTGTTTATGGGTCTACACATGGGATTTTCATGCATGTCCATGGTTTTTTTCAATTTTGTTTTTGACTGGGTTGCAAAAAATGACGATCTTGTTTAGCCGAATGGGCTCCGATACTTTTTGTCTTGCTACAAATCGTCCCCTATCATAAATTTATTCATTTTGATTATATCAACAGTATAAAAACATTGGGTAAGTTTTATAATCGAAGGATTCTGAACTACAACACGATGTAAACGACATTATGCAAACCCTCTTCCAAAATCAACGATTATCATTGAATAAATTAAATAAAAGAAAAAAGAATAATAGGTCATATTTTTGTAACATTTCAAAACAATGAAAATTGATCTCAAATATGTTACTGTATGCTCCACCTTCAGAATATATATAAAGATTAGAAGAATAAACATTCTCTCTTTTTCCAATTCTTGATTTGTTACTAGAAGAAATAGATACTATTCACTGTTTGATTGATCAATGGCTTTCATGTTCCGCACAAAATCTTTATTGTAACTCACTTATCATGTGAAAGACAATATTCTTACAACTATTACACGTAATGTCAATCATCTACTTTAACATCTTTCACTAGTTTATTTAAATATTGAATAATTATATAATATAAAAAAAAAGATAAACTGAAAACTAAAATTTTCTCATTTATTATTTGTTATTTTCTCCAACAGTAATTATATGCCGACGATATATTTTCAATGAACATTTTACAAAAACACTTTCTTAATGTACTCAATGTTATTACATAGATACAAAAACCACAACTAGGCTCAAAATACATGGTCATTCTAATCAATAATGGAATCCATGCAGATTGATTTGGTTCAATTATTGTTCTTTTTTTTATAGTCTGTATAAGATAATAAAAGACATAAACACCATATGGTAATGATGTTAAGATAGTTGCAAGTACTTCACATATGATCATTAATGTTAATTGTTTATCGATTTGATAATGAGTCGAATTTTGACAATGAGAACAATGTGAACACATTTCCATACATAGATGTTTTTGTCGACAATTACCACGACGACGACGACGACCTTGTAAACGATAAAAATAATCACCAAATACTGATAAATAATGAATATTTTTCAATGTTAATATTCCAAAAATAATCATTAATATTGGTAAAAGAAAACAATGAATAGATGATATCCATATAGCCCATAAAATACGATTATGTGGAATACAACCTTCTACAGGAGACTTTATTGTAAAATTAAATATATGTTGAAGTGATAATAATGCAGATATTATAGATGAAAGTATACATAATCTATAAGCATATGAATAATCACAAAAGTGTCTGATGAGAAAAGATGTTTGATTTTGTTGACGTTTTCTTCTATGATAACTTGAACAAAATCGATTAATTGAAGCAAATAAAAGCATATGAAATGATAAATCAGTACTTAACATATGTAAATAACTACGTATTTTACATATAATAATATCATATAAAGATATTTTGTATGTAAGAAGTATTGTTTCATTTTGATTATTTGACCAATCAATAGTAAATTTAATCCAATGATATTTTGGATAAAGACGAATTAATAATTGAAGAATTGGTAAATTATTAAGAGTAATAAGATTGCTGAATGTTGAAAAAAGTAAATAAACAGTACATGCAAGAGAACGTAAAGGTTTGTGAAGAAGTAATGCTACTTTAAATAAATTACAAATATTTCCAAAGATTATATAGAAAAGATTAATATAGATATTAAAATAACGAATAGATTGATCATCTTCTGTATTATTAATACTCTGATTGTTCATCTTTTAATTAGAAGATTGAAAAAATTTTACGACGTAATTGTTGTTTGTATGTTCATTAGAAATTATGAAGATGATAGTACCGAAGTCATTTAACATAAGACTATATATATAATCCGTCCCTTCTTGACAGTTCCACTTGGCTGTCTCATAAAAAAGAAAGAAAATTTTTGCCATGAGCAATGACTAAATTTTCTCATTTCCACTTGGCTGTCTCATAAAAAAGAAAGAAAATTTTTACCATGAGCAATGACTAAATTTTCTCTAATGGAACTAATCAGCAAAGAAAGAATGTATGTTCCTCTTTTAGTTAATTGGTATAAATTTTAATGATGTCTTTGAATAGGGTGTTCCATAATATTTGCACGCTTTTTATTTTCCCTGTATCTCAGTATAGATAAATGATGTAACCTTGATGTTTTACTTAGAAGATGCGACGTCAAATTCTCTACAAAACCTGATGAAAAATATCTCTTTGATTTGATTCAATAATTTCTTAAATGGCTAGAAGTGAAGATCTGCGTGATGTTGCTATTTCCCAACATAGATATTTATCCCCTGGTCAAAAATAAGCGGCACATCTAATTTTTGCTATTATTTTTTCGTACTATTGTCGTTTGGTTTCATATTTATATCACAAATACACGTCTTGTTGCTCGGTGTACCCTCCAAGTTTCAGCCATAAACAGCGAGAATTCATTGAGAAAACTGCAAATGTATCTTATGTACTCTTGTATGGCTGGAACCAAAATTTGTTGTAATGCTGGTTTTGCTGTCATTTCTAGTTGAGTTTGAATTCTTCGACAGTGGTTAGAAGCCTATTGGGATAGTTTACAAATGAGAATAGCTGAGACATCTAACCTCTATCCAAGAATTCAAACTCAGCTAGAAATGACAGCAAAACCAGCATTACAACAAATTTTGGTTCCAGCCATACAAGAGTACATAAGACACCTTTGCAGTTTTCTCAATGAATTCTCGCTGATTATGGCTGAAACTTGGAGGGTACACCGAGCAACAAGACGTGTATTTGTGATATAAATATGAAACCAAACGACAATAGTACGAAAAAATAATAGCAAAAATTAGATGTGCNGGGTGTGGGTGTGGGTGTGGGTGTGGGTGTGGGTGTGGGTGTGGGTGTGGGTGTGGGTGTGGGTGTGGGTGTGGGTGTGGGTGTGGGTGTGGGTGTGGCTGTGGCTGTGGGTGTGGCTGTGGCTGTGGCTGTGGCTGTGGCTGTGGCTGTGGGTGTGGCTGTGGGTGTGGGTGTGGGTGCGGATAAAAACAAGATACATACCCGCACCCACACCCACCCACAACCACACCCTGAAAATATGCTGCGCTCGATGTTTTCTGAAGATCATACTGGTATAATCCTCTTGAAAAGGCACAAGGTTGGGCAGCTTTGTCCATGCAATCTCCATAGAAGCTCATAGAACCAGAGCCATTTTTTCATAGCAATGAGAACTTTTGGTGAGCTCAAGACTAATGCCAAAATGTGGATGAACAGATCCTGTCTTGAAATATTTTTAGAGACAATATTGTTAAAATCAGCTGGACTAGGTGTAGAATAGATACCGTCGTGACCGATCTGGAGTTTTCTACCGAATCAAAGGATACGCGGACCACGCAGCTGAAAAGATGACTTTAGTTTTTTCAAATCAGTTCACCGAGAATTCGTCAGCTACTCCAAGTATTGAGTTTGACCTAAGAGTTATTATCGGAGTGTATGATATATTGCATGTGTGACAGTGATGCAACTAATAAACCAGAGTGCTTGCAGTATCTGATTTTTTACTGCCACTGAAGCTTGGGTTGCACTAGAGACTTCGAACTTCAACGATAGACAATTTTTGGCAAAATGTTTTGATAGAAACTCGAATTCAGGATTGGAAATAGTTTACAATCGTCGAGACCAAGTAGAGCTTGATTTATCATTTGAGAAATAAACGTTTTTGGCTGCTCATCCGTACAAGAAACATTTGCTGCAGAACTAGAGTACATACAGGTTCTCCAGGCAGCATAGTCGACGTAGGCACATTTATACTATAAGATTACACACAAGTCAGACCATTTGTATCAGTTTGGGCAGATCTTAAAAATATGCAGAGGTTTTGATAAAATACATGAGAAAAGACTACTGTGAGAAAAATTCGCAGTCTATCGTCGACATCTGACACATTTTAATGGCAGGAATAACGTGGGTCTACAGGAGGCTTTCGTCTGGATGAAATCGCATCAGTCCTGTCTTTTTGGCAGTGCGATACAAAGACAGTTGATGTGGACATGCACTGCATCCATCCATTATCTCGGCAATAAATTGTGTCAAAGAAGAACAACTCGACAGCAACTCCCGACGAATACCGCTAATATCCACTATACGAAAAAGGTTTTTTTAGGTTTGAACCATTCTACGGCATTAATAATATAAGTATTTCAACATCTTAACTTTACGACAGTATATCAGTAGGTTTTTTACGACTTCCTTCTCCCCAAACAAACTCATCCTATATCACCGCCAAAACTTCTCAAGCGCAGTGAGTACATTTCTGAGCTCTATCATCCCATGAAGCAGGCTGCGATCCGACTAGAGCGCAAAGGAAGCCCTGAAAACAACATAATTGACAACTCAAATCTTTCCTTTCTCAACATTGACAGACCTGCAGAATCGTCAGTCAAGTCACTTTAATACCCATATGCCAACAAGACAATCAATCATAATTTGGCATACTAACCTTTCCGGTGGCCACATTTTCTTAAATATTTTCCCATCATTTTTTCGCTTTTGAAACGATCTATCTACTCTGAAAAAATGAGTCTAGTTCCCTGAACTACTCTGGAGATCACATGGACAGAGTTGCGGAACCTTGTGCCTTTTCTATAGGATTAAACCAGTGTGCTCTTCAGAAAACATAGAGCACAGCATATTTTCCTAAATATTTTGGCATCATTTTCTAGTTCGTAAAAAGCTCTATCTACTCTGAAAATATGTAACTTTTACATTGAAGAACTTGATGATAATAGGCACTACATGGCGCTATCAGAGGTAGAAATATGCCTTATAAAGGGAATGTAGGCTATCTAATAGAATGGACTATATAGTGTTTATGAAAATTGCTCATGTGCATCGAGAATGGTTGAATGATGAAGGAAGAAGCGTTATTTTTAAGGTGGAGCTGAGTTCTGAAGAGATTTTCATTTTGGGCCGATTTTTGGACAAACTGTCCCCCCTCCTGTCTTTTTGTTTCGTTTGTATAAGTTTGTAGAAATTTCCATGTGGGAGAATGTGAATACTACTGTATGAACAAGAATTGGCAACCTGTAAAAAAACAGAAATATCATGCATACCTATTGAGGTCGCTTTAGTCACATCTTGGATTAGTTTTCACTCACCAAGCATCTCCGTCGTTCACATAAGAGATTTGAGCACTTGTCACTCAACTTCTCTGTGATGGATTTTTTCATGGATGCAGATGGAATGGTCTACTGAGCGATCGATAGGCAGCATGTAATTTCGATTGAGTAGCCATGTAATACTTTTAGTTCTAAAATGAAAGGAATACATGAGACATAGTGCACGTAGATGGAAGCGATCCGTGCAGCAGCATCATCATCATGATGTCAACAAATGACAAACATTATGAGTGATGCGTATTCTATGAAATAGATTAAGACTAAATCTCGAGTGCTATAGAAGTCACTAAAAATCTCTAGTTGTAAGAAAACATGACGAAAGTTTTATCGTATAGTACAAATGCAACCGACTGTACAAATCATAACCTTCATTTCCATAGCTAGGAAATCTTGAGAGCTCGAGGGTGTAAGGTATGAGTGAAGAGGAGATCAACACTTACATCCGCCCGCCACATTCTGTACCTTCATTCGTCAATGGTATACCATCAGCAGTGCATCGAACAGTCAGAAGTGGACAAGGTTTTTTTGCATGATGGTTCAAAGGATGCTATTGTTTGATAAAAATGCTGAGAAAATAAACCAGATGTCATGTGTGACAAGAAGAAAGTAGGGATTCATTCAAGCAACTGAAACTTTTCAAAAGAAAATTTTCTCTAAAAAAGAATGCTTAGGTCATGATAGACAATTGTATGATACTCATTTCAACTCTCCATCTTCGTACTCTAATGATTAAATTCATTAAAGATATTGCATTCAAAATAGTAAAAAAAATTGTGTAAAATAGCAGATGTTATGTACTTTCATAACAGAACTTTAACAGTTTTAGAGCAGAATTTCAAGAATATGCTTTTCGAAGGTTATTATCTCACGCTAAATTGACTTGAACTCGCAAATTTTGAGTTTTCTGTTAAACAAATGTCATGAACAAATGTGGACATCCTAGTTAATAGAAAAATTTCTTTTGAAAACCTTTTATTGCGACAATACAGCTCTTGCTTTCTGATTTTCGAACTTATGGATTCTATTTTTTCTTCTAAACACATCTATCAAACAATAATATAATTTGAGCAATTGTAAAAGAAAAATCTGCTCACGCAAATGTGATCAAGTTGCAGTATTATACATTCAATTTAAGTACAATTCAACTTTCAGAATTGAACTTATTTGTGTAAATATATTACAAACAATGATTATACTTTGGGGAAAAATCATACATCAAAAGACAGCTTTATGATGGAATTATGGCTAAGCCAGAGTAATAAAAAAAAACTCTTGTCCGTCATTGTAGTATGTTGATATGTTTTAAAAGGTATCAATTTCTTCGTACATTCAAAAGTCAAGGACAGTATCATGCACAGAAAGTGGAATACATTGACTGGGTTGAATCTTTAATTGGTCTATCGTGACATCTTGCAGCGAAGGTAATATTATTTTCAGCGCGCTGATTTCACGTTCGTCGATGGGAAGCATATCAAGATAGAGTTTCAGGTAACATATCTTGTGATGCATTACTTTTTGACGGATAGGCCAGTTTATTAAATGTCGAATTTCTAGACAGTGAACATTTGGCATTAAACTGATCAAATTAC